AGAGGAAACAGAACAAACCATTTCACATGCAATCCTTCTAAAAGCAACACTCTCTGGTCTCTACTAACAGCCCTTCATGATTCCAGCTTTGAGATTCCTCCTTTACCTGCCACACCCGATTCAGGTTGGTCCTGCCAACCCCGAAACCAGCCAATCACACGCATCATAAAGAGACAGACGACCAATCAGAGCGCCTGCTCCATTTAACTCTCTGCACACAGAGCTTTCTCTCTATTGTTGTTTTTGTGAGCAGAGAGAGCACACAGTCAAACGTTTTTCAAGCTTCCTTCATTCTTTTAAATGTTGCTTTGGAACAGGAAAAACAGGCAGCCATGGCAGCTTATCACGCACTCACATCTGAGTGTAGTGAGTGACGCCGGCAGGATTTTATTGTTTGGTCCCATTTGTCCTGACAAAAATGTCACTCACAGCTCGTCCTGAGCCAACCAACCCCGGGCCCATCTGAACCGGCTCCGCCTGCCTGCCAGCACAGCCAGCCAGTCACACAGAAAGCATGTGAAAGTGGGCGAGAAAAGAACAAACTAACATTGTGTCCAGCTGCCCACCTTGGCAGCAGTGGAAAAATAAATCAGTGTGTTTGTGTTGCAAGTCTGGGCAATGGCGGGGTGTGGCTACACAGTCATGGAGCTCCGTTTGTGACCATGGAGGACGCATCTGCACTGACGCAGATCAAACTATAAAACACTTGAATAACAACTGAGATGTTTAAAGGACAATTTCACACAAAGAGACAGCACTTAGGCTAACAGAAACCATGCTAACTCGATTGCTAAGACGTTTAGCAGAGGTTAATTTACAGCATAAAAGCTAACAGAGTGCACGCCCACAGTCTGAGATACAGTCAAGAACAAAACCTTGAAACCTGAGTCTAAATTTAACTCTATCCTAACTGAATGTGCGTAATCAAATTCTCCTAGCTCTCCTTTTCACATCAGCTGCTCAGAGTCCGCTCAGCTGTGAGGTCGAGTAGCAGCCCAGCTCCAATCAGGTGTGTGCAAACGAAGCTAACTGATCCAGACGTGTCTCTGTTTAGGAAAATGAGGAGAGATAATCATCTGATTGAGTGACCACATTTTGATTTTACACATAAACACGCTCCATGATAAGAGCTACACACTGCTGATATAAAGGAGATAAAACTGTGACTCTTGATAGAGTGCAGAAATCCATTTCTCTCATCTCTTTCTCTCTTTGAGCAGCACATCTGCTTTCCTGCACATACCAGACCTGCTGTGATTTGCATGCCTCTACTGGATTATTCACTCACTGGTTTTATCTCATGTGTGAATGAAACTAAACGTGCTTATTAATCTGATTTTATAAGTACATGACATTGACAAATAAAGCCAATAAATCAGCAGCGTCTGCTCCAGGCCCTTTTGGCTTGTGTACTTTACTGCTTCTCCCTGTTAGCTCATCCGCCCACCACCTCTCTGTGCTCCCGCTCTGCCTCATGACTTGAGAAATATGCACGGCCTTAACTGTCGCAGAGCAGATCTGCATGCTGCTGCTGCCACGCTGCTCAGAGTCACAATATTTAAAAAAAAAAAAAAAAAGCTGCGTTCTTTGACATGTTTCAACGTGTGGTGGATCCGAGAGCGGTGAGAAAAGACTTAATAACATGTTTGTGCAGGGAGGAGCTTCGCCCTGTAACACGCTGCAGCTAACTGGACTCAGATGGTTCTCTGTCCAGGAACTCTGGGGTGTAAAACAAAAATGGAAACAGAAGGACAAAGCTCTGCTTCTGAAGAAACACAGACTGAACAACTAAAGGCCTGAAACACCCAGACCCAAGAGAGACCCTGTTATTCTTCCATGCATGGTCTGCAAAGGAGGGTGTTGTATTTTGATCTATTAGTGCTGTTTTCCTTCAATTAGATGTCAACCAATTACAATAAAACTGTGTTCAGATATCAAAATGTTTGGAGTCATGGGTCCAGCAGACGGCCCGTCTACAAAGCTTCAGTCCTCGTCGCACTTTTGACTCCTGATCCTGACGCTCTTTGGTGCATTTCATTCATCCTCCACTCTCTCTCTCTTTTATCAATCATCATTTTTAAATCCCTCCCCAGTATTCTCCTTCTTTTTGTTCATGAAGTTCGATTATGTTTACAGTTTACTTCAAGCACAATAAGTCCTAGTCTCCAAGTTGTCCTGCTAGAGCACCGCTAGAGCAGAGGTTGTCAAATTATGATCACACACTAACTGGAGAGTAAACAAAAGGTCTATTGGTAAGAACAAGTGTGTGCAGGCCTATTCTGTATGGATGTTCATTTTTGACAGCAATGTATCTTTTTTTTCCCCTCGTGGGTCATGAAGGGTTTAAGTATTACAGATACAAGACGTGGGCTCCTAGGGAAAAAAGGTGGGGAGCCAGACGAGGAGCACCACCTCCAGGGTTCAGGACTCATGTGAACCGAGACCTGTTGTTACATGTCATCAAGTCACTTCCTCTTCTCACTTTTTCCCTCTCTCTCTAACTCTACTTCACCAAATGAAGGCAAGAATGACAAAAAAAACAGTGAGCATTGCTGTTTTTTTCCCCTCCTCTACTGTTACTCAACATGTGCAGCAGTCAGCACGGTGGAAACTCGGCCCTGCTCCTGTTTTTGACCTTTTCAGAGTCGCTCGTCACAAACTGCAGCAAGGACGGACGAACCCATTCCCACACTCATTAAATCCACTGCTCTCTGATATCCTGCAGGAGGAGTTCGCTCACTTTTCTGCGCAATAACTGGCACAGTGAGCGTGAATACACCTCAGGAATTTGCCCTTGGTCCCCCCCCCCCACCCCGCCCGCCTCAGCTACAGGCTTGTAACATGTCCCCAGCCTGTCCTGTTCCCAGTCAAACAAACGCCTCCCTGCCTCCTATGTTGGTGCAGGTTTGGAGCACGCATGGACCTCAGTACCAAGTTTTCACTGTTAATAATTAATAGCTTAGACTTTTCCTCTTGATGAAACTTTGACCCGTGTGATCTCTGGACAAACACGCAGAGAGAGAGAGAGTCCTCACAGTCGATGAACCAAGCCAGTGAAGGACTCGACCCGCTGGGTTTGACAGGAATCAACGTCAGGAATGTGTGAAGTTTGACGGCTATTAAAGCGTTAAGTGGCCTAATAAAAATGCACGATTCAATGTTAGGCATGTTGTCACACCACTAGAAAGTATGCCAATCATCTGGCTAGTTAGAGAGTAAGATGAACACACACTAACACACACACCCTCACAATCATTCCACACTGTTAAGCAACGGCTCCTCAAATCATCCTGCATTACACCGCCTTTCCACTCCCTGATGACCCGCTTTAGAGCGGAGAAAAACTCATGTGAGAGACGGTTTTAATCTTTTATTATCTCCTCATTAAGTCCACTTAAATATTTTCTTCCATTTTGGAATACATCACTGCTTGATGGGTTTGTATTTTGAGACTCCCCCCCCCCCCACCATTAGCTCATTAGCTAATGGGGAAACAGGGTGTAAAACAAGGTCACCTCAGTCTGGTGAACATTTACTGGATGTTGTTTTTTGTGGTGCACAGGTTGCCAAAGTCTTGCAAGCATCCATCTTTTGCTCAGTAGCTGAGTGAGCGTAACAAGAGGAGGAGGAGGAGGCTTTAATAAGAGGAGTGAGGAGGAGTGAAGGAGGCAAGATGACAGGAGGTTAGGAGAGGCTGCTCCTTTAAAACCAACAACAAAGTCACAAGGCTGACTGTTAATTATTGGTGAGGTGGATTAGAAGTTTGATAACTGTGGTAATGATTGGTGTAGCATATGGCGCAGGGTGGTTTCATGTTGTTTGGTGTCTAAGTATTTATGCAGAATATCAGGAGCTTAAAAGATCTGCAGCACACACAGAGAGAGAGAGAGAGAGAGAGAGAGAGTGAGTGGGCGTTTAGTTCTGTGCATGTGAAATGTTAAAGTGTGGCTGCAGAAACTTGTTTGTCAGAGGGAGCTGTGTGAAGAATAGGAGCAGCAATATTCTGCTTGTTCAAGCGGTGTGCTCGACATAACACTGCTAAATGACAGCTGTTTGTTTCACACCCAGTTAGATGTCGTCTACTGTGGCAAATAATGACTTCTCTCATTTCACTCGACCTGTCAGAAGAGCAAAATGTGTGTCACATCCTGATTTACAAACACGAGACAATCTGCAAACACATCAGAGAAGTCAATGTTTTCTTTTTTCTTAACAGTCCAGATGTTTTAAAACAAGAAACATGTCAGGAATTCCAGCAGCAGGTCAAGGGTGAGACTGGAAATCTCTGCCGGTGTTTTAAACTTCAACAAGAGTACTTATTGTAGTTTTTAATGTAAAAAAATCCCTAGATGTAGTTAATATGAAGCACAGCAGCTAGCTTCGTGGTTCCATTATCTCTCTATCGGCCTTGAACGCCTCAGTATCGGTCGGCTCTTCCGGTGAGCAGCAGCAGAAACTCGCCTCGCCTCTCTCATTCTTTCTTATCGGCCTCGAAGCAGCCAACCAGGCAGGCAGACAAGTGGGACAGGTCGCTTTGATTCCGCACTACACCCTTCAAGTAAACACCCTTTGACTTGCTTTATATTCAACCCCCTTAAATGTCTGCAACACAATCACCATTTAGATTTTTTTTGCAACAATGTGGCGCCCTGTTTCCGCTCGCGGAGGGGAAAAAGTGCCGGGAAAAAAAAAAGAAAAAAAACCCTTCAAAGAGTGAGAGCAGCAGTTAATGTGGGACACGTACTGATTCTCATTCAGAAGAAGAAATGAGGGTTCAAGCAGACAGGGAAGAGGGGGGGAAAAGGTTGGAGATGAGAGGAGGAGCTGGGAGGAGAAAATGGTAGATGAAAAGTGGGACACAGGGAGCAGCTGCGGGGTTTTAGAGGCCCGCACTCGGTGTCTGACCTCCACTCCCCATCCCATCCCTTCCCTGCCATTTTCTTTCTCCCCGCCGCTTCCTCCTCCTCCTCTCACTCGGCCCACTCATCTGTTCTCCTTACCTTCCTCTGCTGCTTCTCCCAGGCCGGGTCCAGGAGCATGTCCCGGTCCCAGTCATTCTCTTGCTCCATGTAGGTCGGCGGACCTCCGCTCGATTGATTATTGGCAGCGTGATAATCTACCATGTCAGCAAAAGCAGCCTGAGTGCGCCACAGACCAACTGTCAGCAGGAGGAAACGTTCAGATATAAGAAAAAATTATATGAGAAAAAAAAAGAAAACGAAGGCCCAAATTAGGGAGGTGGTGAGGGGTAGGGTTCAGGAGCCCGGGAGGAGTCCTGCTTGTCTCGTCTTGTTTTTTTAAATGTGATGAATATCCGGCGTGTGCAGTCACAAAATCCCCGCTGCTGCTGCTGCGAGAAGAAAAGCTTTCCCTCTGAACTGAGAGGCTGCTGGGAGGAACCGGCCGCTCCTACAGGCTTCAGCCACTGCCGACAATCTGCACCAGCCCGGGGAATGTACTTCCGCTGTACCCTTTCAAAATAAGTTACACACACAACCGAACTTCCATTTGCACCTGAAAAGTCCTTATTTGTTGTTTTCCTCTCTCCTGTTTTCCTCTTTGTCACTGACAGTGATTTATACACAGGAACACATTTTAATCCAACAAAGCCTATTGTTTTTAATGAAACTTTTAATCATTTATTTCATATAAGAGCAACATCATCATCAGTATTGTTTTCACGATTGATTAATGAATCATTTACTTTAAAACGTTTTAATTAAAAAATAAATAAATAAAACAATTTTACATGGCTTTAAGTGACGTCTTAAAACTGATTATTTTGTCTAAACCACAGTCCAAAACCCTAAAACTCTCTATTAAGTTTAAATGACACAAAAATAAGCGTATTATAGGAATTTGAAAATTGGAAAAATATCTGACATGTTCTCTTAAAAATGACTAAAACGATTAATTGATCATGAAAATCGTTTTTGATGCCAGAAATGATTCTTTGACTGAGCGACTAAAAGATTAACCGTCGCTGCGCTCATTAAGGAAAACATACATAAGAATGCACAGTTTTATCCAGCTATTGAAGAGCCCATGTGTTTTTTTTTATCTATTGGCAAAAGTCGATTTTGGATTTCTTTTGACATTTTTGTTTAATTTTCCCCTTCTACCAAGAAGCAACGGTCTTTTATTTTGAAGGCAACCCCGCCCACTTTGCGCTGTGAATCAGTGAGTTCCGGTTAACTTGACTCACCTGTCTCCAGTAGGCTCAGACGGTTTTATTTGAAAATTACCCCACTACTTGTCACCACCGCACTATGTGTCTTATAGTTCACATGAATTAAATAGTACAGTCATTTGTCATGCTTGCACATAAAGAGGTCAAACTTCTTGTATGCACACACACTGATCAATCTCATTCTGATATTCATTAAGATAATAAACTTTCTCTGATGACTTGAAACACTGACATGCAACTTTTTAATTCTACTGATTTAAAGTCTTTATCTGTGATTTTTCACACTTAAATATATAAATCAAGTATCTCCTCTGAAAATAACTCTACAATGGGTGTAACACCCGAGTCCCACTGTCTGTGATGTTTTCAGAGTCCTATCTTCACTTTGTTTACATCGCCAGGACAGCCGGCTGACTCCTCCCCTCGTGTATAAAAGTTGTTTAATTGAGGGACTAGAGAAAAGAAGAATAACATACTGTACTCACTGCTTAACTGTGTTTCTAGATCACGCTCATTTCAGGTAAATTTACATGCAGTGTGAAGATACCAGCAGAATAAAGATCGCTAGCATTAGCATGCTAACACAACAATGCAGCGCAAGTTGTTTTGGTTTCATGCTGGTGCTCAAGAGGATCAAAACATCACATATAAAGCCTTGAAGACTTTATCTAAGGAGACATACAGAGAGAGCTCATTTCTCAAAACATCTTTTTTCTTTACATCTCAACCCAAACTTTTATAATCAAGTGGAGCTCTGAATCGTTTCTGCTTCACTTGAGACGAGGTGTTTCTCTGTCCATTCTTCATATACGGAGGGGAAACAGAAACTATCTCTTGGGGGTTGGGGTGGGGGGGTCTTGCGTCTCTACCTTCAGAAGTAGGTCAGGCTGCCGTGCTCGATTAGTGTCACCAGCATGTAGACTGTAGCAAGTAGTCTTACAGTGGGGGTCTGCTCCTACCGGCTCTGTGATTGGTCAGAGCAGCTGAGTCATAACTACAGTCTGAGAGTCTGAGCTCACCAGCAGGAGAGAGACACTTATGAATGGACTGTTTTTGTGTTTTTTTTAAAGAGCAGCTGAACAAAGAGGGATGATGACGTGAATGACACATAAACACAATCAGTGTGTGAGTGTGTGTGTGTATGTGTGTGTGTGTGTGTGTGAGAGAGAGACAATGTGGCTGTTTTTGCATTTCATATTAAACAACATTTCTACGTAATCTTACAGACAGTGTCAGCAATAACAATTCCTTTTAATACAACGATGAATGTCGATGACAGAGTAAGAAGTGTTCGATGTTAACTCTGCACGGTCACATTCAAATAATCAAGTTTCAGTTGTGACGACCTGTGACTGTGTCAGCGCTCCTCCTGCTGGCTGCTCTCTCTCTCACACCATACAGGTTGTCTTCAGGTAGGGAGGGGGCGGAGCCAAGTTAATGTGATGTCATGCACCTGGGTATTTAGGCTGGCGCTATAAGCTCTTTACATCACAATGCTAATGCTATAGCCTCCAGATCACAGATCACACACACACACACACACACACACACACACACACATGCTGTATTTACATCCGACTGTTCTCACTTTAAATGATGCTAGAGGACGGATATTTACACATTCCAGACGTCAGCAGAGAACTTAAGGTCATCTCTCAAATGTTTTCCAAAGTGTAAATTTGTCTCAAGCTTTGTTAGTGTTTCACACTTTGACTTTTGTTTTGGCACTTCCCAGCCACCGTACAAAAGTGCTGTGAACATGGAAAGCACTTTTCATGGACTTTTCTAGACTTCAGACCTCTCAAAACACTTTACCCAGCATGCCTTTCTCCTTCTTCACACACACATTCATACCCTGAGTCACTTCTACCATTACAAATCCAGAAGGCCAATTCCTTTATTTCTTAAATGACTGAGCATGAATTAAATCAAATAAATATATTATATTATTAAACACCTCTGAACTTTTCTTTCTTTTAAAAAAACATCACAGAACGTTTGGTGTTTGGAAAGAGACGACTCAAAGATTTTTCACGTCTTTTCTATCTGCTTTATTCAGACTGATTTAGAGACTAACAGAAGAAAAGGATGCAAAATACACTTTATATACATTTTTTTTTTACAATCATGAGTAAGGCATCCACCCAGCAGGATGAAAGCATCATTTCCTGTTTGAAATCATTCATCTGTCGTTTCACTGTCTGAAGAAAATTAACAAAATAAGCAAAATGCTCAACGGAGAAAATGAAATGGTTCATTAACTGAGTCACAAATCGGGGAGAGAGAGAGAGTGGAGAATGTCATGCAGGAAAGGAGCCACAGGTGGGATTTGAACCCGGGCTGCTCGCTTGGAGGACCTGCTGTGTTTGCTCGCGTCATGTTTCTGTGAATTAATCGACACTGTACATCTAAAAACATTCAAACTACACGTTAGAATCAAACATTAAAAGCAGAAAAGAAAAGAACAAAGTAAAATCCTGATGAATCTTCTGCAGGATCCAGTTGTCAGTTGTACATGGTCATGTGGAGCCACTGCAACCAATCAGAGGACAGGAAATATTCAGTTGATACAGCAGGTGTAAATACTAACCTTCATATGAATACATTTCATGTTTGATTTGTAATAATGTCAAACTGAGATGGTGGATATTGTTGTCATAACACCGCTGTGAGGTGCAATTTTCTGTCGATTTTCAGGAGTGCATGTGTGTAGAAGTTTCAGATGATGAGAGGTGAGTTGTTGCTTCTCTTCAGATATACATCAGTGTTCTCACCTGTTTGTAGCTGATGGTCACTGTTCCCATCCCCACCATGTCGTACGCTTGAAATGTGTCTGTAGGAGAGGACGCAAAAAAAACATGAAAAATGAGAAACATTTCAACTGTGATGGAAGATAACAGTTTGTTTTCTGTCCTGCATGAAGTACCAAAGTTCACCGTGTCAGGGTGAGTTTGATTTTTTTGAGGAGACTTTAAACATTTTTTCATGATGTTAATCCAAATTAAACTTTATAAGGTCTCTTTAAATCTAATCTAAGTTGATGATAATGTCGAGTTTAATTCATTTCCAGTAAAATCAAGGAGAGTTGACTCCCACTCATGAAGTCACATATACAGTGTACAAAGAAACTGAACTGTAGTTAATTTAATGCATGAATTCCACATTGCTTGTTGTAATGAAAGAGACTACTGAGTGGTTCAGGCAGTGCCTACATGTACCAGGATGCATTGTGAATGATTAGCCTCAGACTCTCTGCACAGCATTTCTTGCAGAAATTCTTCAGCTAAAATAATAAGTACCGATAATCCTCTCAGTCAAATCAAACACAACATGAATCCCTGTCCTTAACATCGCCTCTACTCACAGTTAAAGGATGCTTACTCCAATGTTTGTGGCACCGCTTTGTAGCAAGTCTTCATTTCAAGTGAAGCCCAAGCTAAGATAGTTTCAGCATCACAAACTACCTCAGATGAGGACGCTGGTGCTGAAGGAACATCTGATCTGTGGTTTTTTTAAACTACAAAATTCTTTAGAAGTGACTTATTTAATTTCTTTCCCAGAACTGTCATCAACACGCGTTGTTGTGAGTCCCACTTTTCTTTTGCTGAAGAAGCTCAAACCTTGTAATCTAGCAGATTGTTCAACACATGAACAGCTTTGTTTAAACTCGTCTGACGGTTAGTTTACCTTTAGGGATCTACATACAGACTCTTCATTTGACAGCAGCAGCATCATCTCACAGCTGTCCTGTTTAGAGACATATTCTGATACAAGCAAGACTCTTTTCTAGTTATTTGGAAATATCCCTGCATTGTCTTCAAATCAAATGTCTAGGACGGAGTATTCGGGCCACATTAAGACGGGAAAAAATCTGAGAATTGGAGATGAAAGTTGTAAATTTACAAGAATAAAGTCGTTGTTTTAGTCTACAGTTATATCAGAAGAGAAGAAAAATTAGGAATGTGGAGCGTCTTGTGAAGTTACACTTTAGTTAACAAAGAGGAAGATCTTTTGACAAATCTGCTGACACATCATGAATATCAGAAAGAAACTGAGGGCTTTTCCTGGAGGAATTTACCACACTGACATGGAGGAAATTGTCTCTTTTGTGGCTTTGAGGGTTCTCCTTTCATCAGGCACAGGAGGGTGGCTTCTGACACAACCTTTCAGAATAACAATCTTAACCACAACCCAATTAAAAGAATTGAATATCGTAAAATTACGACTTTAATCTCTACATTTGAGTTTTTTCTTTAACATGGCCTAACACGCTGTCTTAAAAGTCACCTCTGCTGTTTTCTGTAGCGTGTTATATATATACGTCTCTCTTTTCATATTCTGCCTCTTATATCTGCCTTCCACTCCACAACGTCTTTGCATCACATCCTTATTGTAGATATAAACTCCCCACTAGAACACGGTGAACATGTCGACCTTGTAGTGATAATGACCAGCGAGATATGTGAGAATTAATTTATTTTAAAAATGTGATGGTTTCTGATTTGTAGCGGTCAGCTCCTCTGTGTTTTGAAACTCCGGTCACAATGTTCCCTTTGTCTTTTTCCCCCTCCCTGTGTCCCCGTGTCCCCGTGTCCCTCTCTTACGGATCATGCTCTCCAGTTTCATGACCAGGTAGAGGAAGCCGGGGTAACTGATGGTCATGTCTGGCTCTGTGTATCTCAGTCCGACCAGCTGCATCACCAGTTCATCCACCATGATGCCTGCAGCACAGAGACAAAACTGTGAGATGAACAACTGGACCTCACACTTTCACATTCACACTCCTGCAGGGAAATTCAGATCTGACTCAATATTTACTCATCTAGGTATCATTGATCACAGAGCCAATCCTGCATCAGTATTTTAATATGTTATCATTTTAATCTCTATGTGTGTCCTACTACACGGAGCATCAGCAGCTGCCTGGTCCAACATCTGGATTGATGTGTAGACAGAAAGAAGGTCCTACAGTGTTGGTTGTTGGGGAGGTTGGGAAGACCGCACAACACATTTTGTTTGTCTGTTCTGAAAGCCAATATTTCAAATGTTTCAAAGGTAGCTTAAGCACTGCAACATTAAATAAAACCTCATTCACAAACTAAGTTAACACTCGTAGCCGAGCGCTTGTCTTTAATGGTCAATACCAACATCCAAAGCAAAAGAATCAGGGTCGAAAAGTTGGACCTCTGCATCCAAAGTATGTTTCCAAGTTCAGTTTTTTTATTTGGGATGAACCTCACGGGGCTGCACGGTGATGCTGTGGTTAGCGCTGATGCCTCACAGTGCTTCAGCGTGGGTTCTCTCCGGGTACTCCAGCTTCCTCCCACAGTCCAAACACATGCTCGTTAGGTTAACTGATGACTCTGAATTGCCCGTAGGTGTGAATGTCTGTCTGTCTGTATATGTCAGCCCTGTGATTGACAGGTGACCAGTCCAGGGTGTAACCCCCCCCTCTCGCCCAATGGGAAAAGTGGTTGAGAGAATGGATGGATGTGATGAGTCTAAACCAGATTATTTAATTGAAAGCGTTTTAAAATGACACTAAACCAATAAAGACTTTCACTAACTGACTCCTCATGACAGATGGCCGCACAGTTATCCAACATTTGTACAAATTGTAGTGAAGTCTGACGCAAAGTTGTCTCAGTTGAAGGAGAATCTGAATCCAAACCAAAGTCTGAGTCACAGTGAAGGATTTATTTTTAAACACAGAAGCAACTATGAGTTACAGAGTTGTTAGATATTCTCTGATGCTGTTTTATAAGAACAAGAATAAATCAAAAACTGTTCATTCAAATGTTATGACTTTAAGAAAAAGATTCTTTATCTGATGGTTTGGTTATATGTATCACTGTACCAACATTTGAGTAAGTCTGAGTAAATATGAAGTACAGTATGTCAAAGGGAAAAGAAGAAGAGGTAAAAAAAAAAAGGGTCTTGGCTCCCTCTGCTGGTGAGATATGTCTATGGCAAATGTGGATCCTAAAGTCTACAAATCTGAATGAAAGTTACACATGTCCTGATGCAGCTGAGAAAGTTTGACACGTGTGATATCTCTCTTTAGGTTAAGATTTAATTTAGCAGACGGTCATCTGAGAGTAAGAACAACACAAATACGGATCTAAAAACGAGGAATCAACGCAAGAAAGTTTGACAAAATTAGCTTCAAGTTGGATCTGTGATGATAGCCAGAAAAAAAAAAAAAAATCAACAACTGCCACTTTCTGTCATCATAATCATCCATCCATCCATCCGTTATCTTTGACCGCTTTTTACCCATCAGGGGTCGGCGGGGGCTTGGAGACGATCCCAGCTGTCATTGGGTGAGAGGAGGGGAACACCCTGGACTGTTTCATCATCATCATGATTATTAAAATGAACAACAACATTTCCATTAACCTCATGATATCAACATCACCATCACCGTCAGACGCATCAACCTCATTCATTGTGTAGAAGTTTGTGAAAGTCTTTATCGGGACTCTGCTGATCGAATGGAGTTCATTGTGGTGATTAATTCCACCACCGGGGGGCGACAGAGGAGAGTAGGTGTGTGTGTGTATGTGACTGTGTCTTCAGTCCTACCTGCTGCCCTCAGAGCGGGGGCGACCTCCGGGTACTCCAGGTTCTTAGTTTTGTTTTTGTCGAACACCAGGAAGATATCCTGAGGAGAGATGACATCATCAAACTGTGCGTTCAAGGACAGTTTGCAGAGTGTCTGATTACAGAGTGTTGTGGTGCATTTGAAGATGGTGCTCGTATTGATTAAAGCCACATTGTCAGAAACATGAATATTAAATATGCAACTGGAGTTTTTTTTATTTTATACTGCACAATAATTAAAAGTTGTTCGGCCAAGTGCAGTTACTAAAATCATGATGAAATCAAAAGGACAAACTATTCGATAGTTCAATTATGTCTTCAATGCAGATTTATGTAAGTATTTTCTTGGATCTCTGGCACGTTATGTTATAGATAAATGCAGTTTTTCATGCAGTGTGCTCTCATCTGATCAGATTTTTTTCATACATGCAGTAAAACCTCTGTGTGGAAACTAGTGTTGTGTTAATGTTTTGTAAGTCTGTGCGTCTTCAGGCTCACCGTCCACCTCCTGATCTTGTCCCACAGTCCCTGAAACTCCAGCCAGTCCAGCTGAGCGATGTCCAGGCTCTGAAAACACTGAAGTCAAAGAAAACTAACCCGACCAATCAAAACAAACGTCATCTTAAAGACAGAGGCGACACACTGCTCAAGAAATGCTTCATGCAACAATCAATATGTCGTATTCACTCTAATCTATGAACATGGCAGAAAACTATGATTCAGCTCGTATGAAAACTTCAGGTCTCCCTGTGACAGCGTTTCTGCTGATGTGGTCTTCTTCTCTTTCCTGCACTAAATGCAGTGACAGGATTAAAATGTCAAAAATAAGTGAAACTTCAATCAAGCTTTTAAGGGCTTTGGGTTTTTTCACACCAAAGACGTCGATTTAAGTGAAAAAAATGATCGTAAAACTCTTTGATCAGAGCCTGGATAGCTCAGTCGGTAGAGCATCAGACTTTTAATCTGAGGGTCCAGGGTTCAAGTCCCTGTTCAGGTGGTGGTTGTTTTAAGCTTCCTCTCTGATTGAAGAGAAGAAAACATTTATCAGCTGTTCAAGATGAGTCACTGACTGTGTTGTATACTACAGTTGTCAAGAAAGAAAGTACCTCCATGACTTAAAGTCAGAAGGGAGAGGTTTTGCATCGAACACTGAACTTTGTGAATTAGATGATGTCACAGTGTTTCATGGGATGATAGTAGGACACCAGTACAATCAATTCACAAAGTAAAGCAGCTGCAAAATTGAAAACTAGTGGAGAGTCATGATGTAAATAATTGCCAAAGCAACAACACATGCTGAGTATGGTAAGAGGGTATTCAGTTTATAAGTTACTCTATGTGGAACTTCACTGAGTAATCATCTTCAGGAGAGTTTTCCAGAAATGTTTGGAGCATTACAGCACAGTCCAGAGAAGCATTCAGTGACTGAACTTCAGCAGCTGATAAATGTTTTCTTCTCTTCAATCAGAGAGGAAGCTTAAAACAATACGTGTCCCCATCAGGGTTAAAACCAAGTCTACGTCCTGTACATGGGCGCAAGACGGACTAAACATGGAGCCGCTTTTTAACATCTATAAGAACATGAGGCCTCATGATGGGAGGGAATGACATTCAGCTCGTAGTGATACAATATAAAAAAAAGATTGTGCACAAGTCCCAAACCTTGAGTCCAGGTCGAGTCTGAAGTCTTTGAGGGACGAGTCCAAACCAAGTCTCAAGTCACATTTGTGTGTGAATTAAGTGCCACTCTCTGCTCTGCTATCGACGGGCTTCAGGGACGTCACAAAGTCTGCATCCATGTTTGATAAAGTCTGTGATCATTGTTGTGCAAATGTTTTCAAGCACTTGGATTTATAGGAAGTAAGTTTTATGAGCCTGCTCCACAAACTCTGAGTGACTTTCACAATGTGTTTGTTTTCTCTGCGGAGAAGCGTTTTAAAATGATTGCCGCCTGAACAGGGACTTGAACCCTGGACCCTCAGATTAAAAGTCTGATGCTCTACCGACTGAGCTATCCAGGCTCTGATGAGAGAAAATAATGACTATCATTATCAAACAGCCAGAACATTCACATGCTCAATGAGAGAAACATTTAAAAGAGGATAACACATGTACATGCTGATCCTTTCTTTTTTTTTAAAAGGTGTGAAAGTTTGTTTTTTAATCCTTAGAAGCTGTGAGTTTGATCACTTTTCAAAGGATACATCCATGAGGACCACCATGCTTTTGCAATGCTCCAGAGCCAAGTTCTTCTCACTGCCGGCCAACACTGAAGAAAAAAAACATGTTCGATGATCAGCGGACATTTTGACCCCAAAAAACAAACAAAAAAATGCAGAATAAATTTCACTCTGATGTTAAATCCTGATTGATGATGATGTTATTTAGTGGAAGTAAAGCATCAGGCTGTTTCTCTATTTCAGAGTTTAGTCTGAGCCATGCTGTAGCTCTCTCAGGCAGTATCATGAATATTGATTTTGTCATGCTAATGAACCTTAAATAGTCTCTCTCAGTAGAGGTCATTGTGGATCCCTGTGTGCTCGGTCTGTTTTTGTTGACAGGAAAGCAATGCAATCTTTACCCTTCTTCTTGTCGCAGCACTCGGTCTACTTCCTGTTTCCTTGAAACTCTAAACTGAATCTGTCACCACGTCCTAACAGACGGCTTCACAGCAGGATGTAACAGTGAGGTGTTAACAAACGTAAACACATTAGATGACAATGAAGTGTTGTGACCTGCAAACATCATGTAAAGGAGCAGCATGTACCTCTGACACCTAGTGGTTAAAATGGGTACTGCAGTCCAAATTCTAAACATTGTAGAAAGCTCATAATTTAAACAATCACCACAAACCAAACTGGTTTTTCTTTGACATACTGAAGCAGCTTATCACGCTCGTGAATCGAGATTCTCTGACAAACCAGATTCTCTAATGATGCCTACTCACAGAACAATAGGCACGTTTATTATATAGCACATTTCAGCAATTCAAAGTGCTTCACACAAGACATGAAAACAACAACAAATGTCTTTTCTTTCTTTGTTATTTCTGTGAGAACCCGTCTCTGCTTCTTTAAAGGAGAGATCCCCATGTTCCCCACAAAAGGAGATCAGTGGCTGGTTTAAATCTGTCTGTGACACTGAGATTAGAGTTTCTAAAGTCAAGACATTTGCATTCACTGCAAATTTGAGGGTGTAGGTTTTGAGCAGAGATAACCGTGGGTGGATGGATTAAATATATTGACCCCGAGGAAAAACATACAACACACATTGGACAGCCTTTGCAGAGGACATGACATCCTTCACATGTAAAATGTTGAGATGATTTTGAAACCCTGGGCACAGAGATGCTGGACCTTTTCTCAAACCGGTCCCTTCAAACTCAACACTGAGGTTTTGGACGCGCTCACTCATACAGTGTGGCCGACCCTCCACTGCATTGTCATAAGTGTGCAGGGAGAGGGGGGGTAGGGGAGTGGTCTGAGAGAGGCTCTTACTTTGTCCACACAAAAAAGACCCTCATGATTTATTCCACTAATTGCTGAATATTTAAACATTTGGAAATAATCTTGTGTTGATCCCAACAAGTCAGAACAAGTGTGTGTTATCCCTTCATGAGAGCAGACAGACAAACATCACTGACCTCCTCCCTGTATGGCCTCCGTCAGCAGGTTGTAGAGGTGCACTGGTTTACAAAATCCCTTCTGATGACACAGAGCAGGAAACAAACACAAGTTATGTAAGAGACGATATCACACACACAGACAATCCTCTTAATGCAAGAACATCCAAAAACACAGACTCAGCTCAGGCAGTTTGTGGTCGCAACTCAGATCTATTATATTTCATATTTGAGTCAACCTGCAGAGAGCTGCAGAAGGGTGGAGTTAACCACATCAGAGCAGCCGCTCCGAGGAGTTCCAGTCAAACTCTGAGAACAATCTAATCTGGGTTGTTTTCTGTACAGGAGGTCCCAGTTCAAACTTCACACACTTATATGGGTGTTAAATTCACCCAGCTGTTGTTTCATTTCATTTCATTTATTTTTTAAATTTCGAATATGTTTTAAAAATAAAATAAAAAATATACATCACAATCAAAGCACACTTTCTGTAGTGGCTCGATTATTAACCAGTCCATGTTGGAAAAAGGGTGTAGGATGAAGTTAAATAACTTATCCAGCCTTTTATCTTTTTAGCTTAATAAATTAATCCCAGACTAAGCTTTCAAAAAATAAAGTTGAATAATACAGATAACGAAGTAACAAAAGCAACAGATATCATGTATTACACACATTCATTAGTAGACAGTACAGACCTTACAACTCATATTGATTCAAATTTTCCCCATTGACTGCTCAACTTTATATTTGTTAAATATGTTATTCTTGAAAATGTGTTTAAACTGTCTTAATGTTTTACATGTTTACATTTCATCACTGCAGCTGTTCCATAAATGAACACCCTTCGTTGTAATACAGTGTAGTTTCTTCTTACTGATTGTGTTAACTGTCCCTCTGCTCAAGAAACCTTTGGATACTGTTCGGTATCTGATCATTGTTAACTTTGTACATGATTTGAATGGTTTTAAAGTCGATCCAGTCCTTGTGTGGATATACAGCAGCTGTGCAGCAGGCAGCTCTCACCTTGTTGCAGTGCTTCTTGAACAGCTCTTTGGTGGTTTTGGGGGGAGGCAGAGCAGCCAAATGAGGATATTGAAGCTGCAAGAAAGAAAAAAGAAGAGCTCAGCACTATCTCTGAATGAAAACCTCTTAAGTCTGAATATTTTGATATTATCTCCAGCAGGTTTATTATCACTGTGTGTTGTTTTTCTATTTCAGCACCTTGGTCACAAAGTCGTGTCGCAGCATTGCACATTGGCTTCTGTTTAAATTCCATTGAAAGTTTAAAAAACACAAATTATTGAGCTCAGGGTGTGTTGGAGCCGGTCTGACAGGAGGGTCTACTCACATTGAGCAATCCAGCATTCAAGTTACACAACATTTATCTTCTTTTTTTCAGATTTTTATTCCTAAAATGTTTTCTTTCGCATTAGATAATGGATGAAAAGAGAGAGAGAGTCTGCATGTGGACGCCCACAGCAAGAGCCTGGATAGCTCAGTCGGTAGAGCATCAGACTTTTAATCTGAGGGTCCAGGGTTCAAGTCCCTGTTCAGGCGGCGATCGTTTTAAAGCGCTTCTCCGCAGAGAAAACAAACACATTGTGCAAGTCACTCAGAGTTTGTGGAGCAGCCTCATGAAACTTACTTCCTACAAATCCAAGTGCTTGAAAACATTTGCACAACAATGATCACAGACTTTATCAAACATGGATGCAGACTTTGTGACGTCCCTGAAGCCCGTCGATAGCAGAGCAGAGAGTGGCACTTAATTCACACACAAATGTGACTTGAGACTTGGTTTGGACTCGTCCCTCAAAGACTTCAGACTCGACCTGGACTCAAGGTTTGGGACTTGTGCACAATCTTTTTTTTATATTGTATCACTACGAGCTGAATGTCATTCCCTCCCATCATGAGGCCTCATGTTCTTACAGATGTTAAAAAGCGGCTCCATGTTTAGTCCGTCTTGCGCCCATGTACAGGACGTAGACTTGGTTTTAACCCTGATGGGGACACGTATTGTTTTCATCATCTTATGAGCCTTTCACGGGGAATGTTTCTCAACAAACTCTTCTGACTTTTACAGAGAACGATTCTGAATTTTCTTCAGTACATTTTCTTCAACAAAGCTGTTGATAAGAACCATTGATTTCATTTCCACCGACCACTGTCAGGTTTGAAAACTCAGTGTCAAAAACAAAAAGGAGCTCTGAGACATTTAAGACGTTTCTTGCTTTAACAAGGCTGAAGCTCAGTATGCCTGAAGTGAATATTAATCAAACAATTGAAGGGTCATTTGTGATTTATTTTTTATTCAGTGCTTGGTTCGACTTGTCTCCTACCTCTGATGTTGAAGTGTTGTCTCGTGACATTGGTCTGTGCGCTGGACTGAAACGAAAAGGATTCAAAACGTATTAGAATCACATTTACATCCAGAAACCTTTAACTCTGACATCTATACAAACAGTTTGGTTCCAGTTCTCTCTTCATTGAGCTGAACCTCAATGAGCTGTGTCAGGACTCACGTGGCATCATTCCCCTGCTCTGTCAGCACCCGGAGGAGGAAATCCCCCTGCTGGTCGGGCTCGAAGGTTGAAGGGATGATGACGTAGCGGCCGGGTGGGAGGGAGCCGCGGAGGACGACTTCCCTGCGAGGGGAGTAATTTTTGCAGAGGAGGACCGGGCGGAGCCTGCTGAGGTCCTCAGGTGACAGGTAGGTATTCTGACTGTGGGCCTGGAGAGGAAGCAACACCAGTCAGCACAAGTTCTTTAATTTGGTGGAAGAAGCACAAAATGTAAAAGATAGCATAAAGTACAAGAACCTTAAGATTTGTGTGTGTGTGTGTGTGTGCGTGTGCGTGTGTGTGTGTGTGTGTGTGTGTGTGTGTGTGTGTGTACCGGGTATATATGCAGAGCTATAGCCAGGTTCGTGCCCCTGCGTCTCTGGTGTTTCTGCATCAGAGCGAGCACAAAGGAGCACGTCTTCACAGAGTCTTCTTTGCCCCCGTCGACCTCCGACAGGTTGAAGTAGAACTGAGGGTTCTGCCAGAACCGTCCTGGAAACATGGAGGGTTAAAGTTAAGTCCAACCGCACCACACTACACACACACACACACACACACACACACACACACACACGCACACAACACACACGCAGACACACTTTACACATTGTAAAGTTGTGCACACTACAAATAACAACAACATTTCTATATGACAAAGTTCACAAATATTTCTCTAAATGTGAATAAAAAGTGTTTTTTTAGGGCTAAATGTGGAGAAATGTTGTTATTTGTAGTATGCACAACTTTACAATCGGCGCCCCATACACACACACACACACACACACACACACAGATAAAGATTAAAGTTAATCTAAGAGCTGCTCAACTTCAACCTCTGTAATTAACATAATCCATCCTCCTGTTTCACCATCACTACAGTAGCTCACTGTGCTCGAGCTCTCTGCCTCTTAAAGGACGTGATTCCTCTCCACTGGAACTTTGCTAAATGTTGCTCAGTGCTCATGATGGATTAAAGTTAAGTCTCTGTAAATAATATGACAGAGTGAAGTCTAGACCTGCTCTTTTGTAAAGTGTGTCAAGATAACATTTGTAATGGAATGATAAAGACAGCTAGATTAATGTTTGCAGCTATAATGTGGCTCTCTTGTTGCCATTTTGTGTTTTCCTTTTTGAAGACCCAAAGCCGTATGCAAACACGCCCTCATACAGAAAAGAGCGCTTGCTCACAGGGAGATATTTCATGAATTTTACAAACAGCGTAATGCTGGTAGACACTTTGAAGGAAATGTTCCGGGATCAAAACTGAAAATTCAAATCAAATCAAACACTTCTTTTAAATGTTTTGAATATAGAAGGCTTCTCTCATCCAGCTCTTCATAACTAAACTTCTCTCGTGCTGATTTTTAACTAGACAAAAGACTGATAATGAAAAAGTCTTGTAGTTATATGAAACAGATGTTGATTCTCACCTCCTGATGGAGAGCCGCCTGCTGTGACCTGTGGCACCCAGGTCCCATGATGCATTTTGCAGGACCATGGCTGCACTTTGGAGCCGGGTTTGCCCAGAGTGTCGGACAGGTGACACACCTCCATGATCTCAAAGTTCTGTCTGAAGTCTGACACCGACATCCTGATGAAGAGACAAAGTGGTGAGATGAATAAAAAGCCTGTTCGGCAAAAATGTGGGAAGTCTGAAGTCTTAAAAAAATGAATTCATTTTCAGCAGCTGTGTTTGTGTTGTTTTGTGTTGCGTTCACAATCGCACACTGCCTTCTTTTTTCTTGCTTTGTGAGAAAATGTATGCCTGATCGGACTTGTTAGCCTCGTGGTTCATGTTGTGTTCAGGGCCAACATGTTGTGGTCAGGGCCAACATGTTGTGGTCAGGGCCAACATGTTGTGTTCAGGGCCAACATGTTGTGTTCAGGGCCAACATGTTGTGGTCAGGGCCAACATGTTGTCAAGGTGTTGTTGTTTAGTGTCTGCAGGAGTCAGGAGTGATGGATGACTTTACAAACTCACCAGAACTCCCCGTCCTCCCGGCTGACTCGCTCCAGTCTCTTCTGCTCCTCGAGGCTCACCGTGTTCCACTGTGGGCTGAGCGAGAGACAGACAGACAGAGGAGAGGTGAGACACATGCAGACAGACAGAGGAGAGGTGAGACACATGCAGACAGACAGAGAAGAGGTGAGACACATGCAGACAGACAGAGAAGAGGTGAGACACATGCAGACAGACAGAGAAGAGGTGAGACACATGCAGACAGACAGAGAAGAGGTAAGACACATGCAGACAGACAGAAAAGAGGTAAGACACATGCAGACAGACAGAAAAGAGGTAAGACACATGCAGACAGAGAGAGAAGAGGTGAGACACATGCAGACAGACAGAAAAGAGGTGAGACACATGCAGACAGACAGAGGAGAGGTAAGACACATGCAGACAGAGAGAGAAGAGGTGAGACACATGCAGACAGAGAGAGAAGAGGTGAGACACATGCAGACAGACAGAGGAGAGGTAAGACACATGCAGACAGAGAGAGAAGAGGTGAGACACATGCAGACAGACAGAGGAGAGGTGAGACACATGCAGACAGACAGAGGAGAGGTGAGACACATGCAGACAGACAGAAAAGAGGTAAGACACATGCAGACAGACAGAGAAGAGGTGAGACACATGCAGACAGACAGAAAAGAGGTAAGACACATGCAGACAGAGAGAGAAGAGGTGAGACATATGCAGACAGACAGGCAGACAGAGGAGAGGTAAGACACATGCAGACAGACAGAGGAGAGGTAAGACACATGCAGACAGACAGAGAAGAGGTGAGACACATGCAGACAGACAGAGAAGAGGTAAGACACATGCAGACAGACAGAGAAGAGGTAAGACACATGCAGACAGAGAGAGAAGAGGTGAGACACATGCAGGCAGACAGAAAAGAGGTGAGACATATGCAGACAGACAGACAGAGAAGAGGTAAGACACATGCAGACAGACAGAGGAGAGGTAAGACACATTGCTTTCTTTGTGTAGAAATGTACAAACCCGTTCAGGTCACTCCAGGGCCCCTCCCACTCCGTGTTGCCCCAGGGGTTGAGGATTCTCACCAAATATGTGAGACCGTGTTTCGTCTCCACCTGGAAAGAGGAGAAGCAAAAAAAAAACAGATATAAGAGAAGAAAGAAACTAAAGCGTTCTCATGTATCTGAAGTAAACAAATTCATCTTTAATTGCAGTTTAACGTCTGCAAATAAAATCCTCCAGTTAACACGCCTTCAGTTTGGGACACTTACCTTCTGTACTGCAGTCAGGGAGTAAGCATGTCTGAACATGATCCCGAGGCTATTCCTTTGTTCCAATGGACCCTGAAGGAAAAAAATAACTTCTATTCAAAGTCAGGACAGAAAGTAAAGGCCAAATGACACACCTGACTCATCATCTACAAGGACACCTCCCATGGGAACATGTTTGTTTCTTCAGTCCTAGAGGTTCTGTGGAAAAAAAAAACCTGATCTTAATATCGTCAGGTGACTTTTCAACCCCCTGAGGTTACCTGGCAGTTTGCACAGTTGATGAGAGCTCCTTTAGCCAGCAGGTTTTTGAGGAAGACGGGCAGGTCAACAGACAGTGAGGAGATGGTCAAAACTTCAGCCACCCCGCCTGTCATATCAACCATGGCCTCATGAGGGAAGCCCATGTCCAGAGCTCTGTAGCCCCCTTTCAGCCTGAGACAACACATCAAAAAGAAATGTTCACATTTAAAGGAGACACACATGAGTACATCTGTTCCAGTGTTCACTCTGTTTGCATACATTAACCCGATAAAATAAAATAGAATAAAATTACTTAATTGATCCAAAACTGGGAAATTGTGGTGTTACAGCAGCAGGTTATCAAAGCAAATAAAACACTATAAGAATAGATACATAGTAAATAAGCACTTAGAATATAAAAATAAGAAGAGATTTATACATTAAGGATTTAACTTAACATTCCTACTGGTTTAAAAAAGAAAATAAAAATGAAATACAACATTTATTCGGCTTGTCAACTGAATGTAAAAATACTTGCTGGAGGTAAGAGATGTAAGTTTGCAAAAACAGTGATGACAGTGGTAAATGTGCAATAACAATATAGGGGGTTATCCAGCTCTGTGCACATTCGTGACTGTGCAATCAAAGATATATATGTTAAAGTGCAGGAGTGTAGATACGTTATCAGTTAAAACTATTCACTATAATGATGAGCAGTCAGACAATGTTGTTAACTTAAAGGTAAGGATAGTGTGTCAATGTATGCTGTGACATTATTCTCAAGTTTCAGGCTGAATTTTATTTTTATTTTTGATTAACTTTAAATTGTGATTTTAGGCGCCTAATTAAAAAGGACTTACTTGGCGTAGGCCTTCTCCAGCAGTGCGCTCCAGAACTCGTGTCTTTCTGGCGAGCTGAGGTAGAGCAGATTGTTGTCTTGAGTCGGCAACAAGTCGTCTATCCTGACCTCCTCCCACTGACCGTACTGCCAGAACTACACAGAGAGAACGAGTGAGAGTGTGGACTGTGTCACATTTTAAGTCAAGGCCAGAACATATATTTATTTTATTTTATTTTATTTTATTTTATTTTATTTTATTTTATTTTATTTTATTTTATTTTATTTTATTTTATTTTAATTTAATTTAATTTAATTTAATTTAATCCATGGACATGACCATAAATAAAACAAGAAATTTCAGGAGATAAAGTATTTAGTTATGAAGGACACCAACAACAGCATGTTGGTTAGCATCCAAGAATTTACCCTGAAGATGAAGCAGCCGTTGTATCCTTCCTGGAAGCTCTGATTAAGAGGCATGACCTTCTTGAGGAGTGAGCGATGACCAGAGAGAGACGCAATGGCAGAAAGTAACCAGCAGTCATCTACAGAGAGCAGAGGTTTGAAAAGACAAGATAAGATAAACTTTATTGATCCCCCATTGGGGGAAATTTCTTTGTTACAGACTCACAGCTCAAAAACAGCAGTATAATTAGTAAAAATAGCAAAAAGTAAAAAAACAAACATATTTACATTAATTAAATAAAGCAAGAATTACAATAGAGATAAAATAATACTACGCTTATACTATAAACACTTTCACTTATGAAAAGACAGAGGACAGTTCTTATTAAAAAACACACACAGTGTGTAGAATTACTGATTTTGAAGAACATTATTAGAGTCAGGTGGTAGTACTGTTGAACAGTCTGACTGCAGATGGTATGAACGACCTGCGTAAGAATTAAGAAGGTCAGACTATCACAAAGGTCAGACTGCACATCATAATACAGAATATCACACATTGTGAATAACTCAACAGGTGCATCCTCTTTAGCGCTCAGTTTCCCTTTAGTCATTGTGCAATGGGCTGTCATAAAAAAGTCCCGTGACCACACTGGGTTTAACAGGTATTTGTCTTCAAGCCTCATAAACATCAGGTACATTCATCACATGACGTGGACAAGCCTAAACTTCTCTGCAGGATGCAAACACACACACACACACACGGAGAGAGCATCAACTTTCCTGTTCCTTCTTGTTAGCTGTCTAGAAAATCAAACAGAGGATGTTTGCTCTGTGCAGCCACTGGACTGTTTGGAGGAGCAGCAGTGCTCCACCTGGTCTTCAGGATACAAAGTATAAAGATCCTGATTTTTAAACAGAAATTATTTGAATTCATTGGAGCATTGTCAGAATAAACTTAAGTAAAAAAAATGTTCATTCAAGGATGCATCGCGGTCACATTGAAGACTACATTCAAGGACTGTACATACAGACCCCTGGAGCAGAAGTCACAGAATAAACCACTTGAGCAAGGGACACAATAAACAAAGAGAAAATGTTGATCTTTATCTCATAATTTTTAAATTATGACTTTATTATCTCATAATTTCGAGAAAAAAAATCTCAATTAAGCCCAAATTTTCAATTTTTATTTTTTTAACTGGCGGAAATGGGCTTCCATAGTAAACAGACTGTCAGCTATAATGTGGAATGGTGTCTTCAACTGCAATATGTGGAATGTAGTGGTGACACACGGCATTGTGACACTGAGCTTCTTTTCCAAATCTCCAAATTGCACCTTCAGAACATACTTGATTATTGAGGTGATTCTTCACACCAGCTATGTTTAACACAAATGCACCTGGGTAAAATATTGACATTTAGAAAATTTAAGTTTGTCTGGTCCAACTCATTTTTCTTCTAAATTATTAAGCAGATCTGGCCCCTTAATGAAAACAGAGGCTGCAGGTGATGCAGGTAATGCAGCATGAATATCCAGTATGTGGTCGGGTATTCTTCTATGTTCACAATAAGTTAAGTTAAAAAAAAGTGTCTGTTTTCATGTACTGCTGCTCCATGCACCGGCTCACTTCTGACTCTCGAGTGGAGCATAAACATTAGCACCTTAGCACTACTGTGCTACCGCAGGCTGCCGCATATCGTGGGCGTGCTACAGAAGTTAACGGGCGTGCAAACATGAGCTGTTGAGCTTGCCACAACAAGCCAATGGGCTTAGATCAGTGACTTTGAATTTTTGCACATAGATGTGCCTAGACACACACAGGACACTTGGAAAACACACTAATGGGCATATAAAACCAGAAAAAGCAGAATATGACCCCTTTAAAAGCTCACGTCAAAGTGTTGTAAAATGCTGTCACTTCAGACTCACCCGTATTATAATCTTACTCTGCAACAGAGTCTTAATACTGTAAGTGAATGCATCACTAAAGGTTTAACATTTTATATTGTTTACTATGTTTCTGTCTACACCTATACAGAATAAAAACATGCAGAAAAGAAGTGTTGGAAATGTTTCTGTGTGCAGAAGAGAATCCAGGTTCTACTGCACGGTCTCATGGGAATCTCTTCATGTGTTACATAATCATGTTTTTACAATCATGTTTTAAGTGAGACTGCTACAGTAGGCGTGTACTTACTGAGCTTTCCCTGGCGGACGTCCAGGCGTGTAGCTCCATTTACTATGAACTGAGGTGACGAACACAGCTCCTACGGAGAGAGAGAGAGAATTGGTTGAAGACAAAGAGGATGAGGAAGAGGACAGAAAAAAGAGAGAGGAATAAAAAGAGAGGGGGTGGAGAGGGGAACTAAACAGAATTAGGAGCATGTCTGAACAATGCCAAAGGGAGTGACTGCAAATTATCAAAGATCATCTATCAGGATGATGTGATATGAACTTGGCACCGTATCTGTTCCTTTAAAGGAGTACAGGTAGACAGGAAGGTGAATAATGTTTCATCTCTGTTCAATGCTGCCAGCTGCATCGCAATTTATGATATACATACCTCAGAAACATCTAGATATTGTTCAACTAAGGGTAATAAAAACAACTTTTGTCAAATCCAACAGCGTTATGAACTACTAAGTGAATTGTACAACCTTTGAGGGCTTTAGGATGTAGTTAGACAGCAGTGTTTTTAGCTTGGTGGATGTGCAGTCTCAAGTTGTACTCAACTTTTTGACCTGATTTGCTCCGCCATGTGCAGCCGACAGAGCTGCTTCCGTTTGGTGTTTATTGTTTTTGTTAAGCCTTGTCCCCCTCTTATGACAAACTGGTTATTAAACATGCGTTCCTGCAGCTCTGTCGTGCCCGCAGGCTTCCTCTTGTCTCAACTAGGTGAACATACCATGAAGGTCAAACGCCCTCTTCAAACCCACAGCAGCCACGTCTTTGACTGACTTTTAGACTCAGACTAGACGCAGGGTTCTCACTTTAACAACCACTCACTGCATGTATGAAACTGAACTGTTGCTTTATTATCTCAATAAAATCCCTCTAATCTCGTTTTTTATTAGCGGCTCCATATTGTACTGTTAATGTTTGATAAAGATCAAATCATTATCTGCTGGTTTCTGGGGGCGTGGTTTATGTATTTATTTTGAAAACTGCTCTAACATGACTCAACCACAACACCGGGAAGTTCAGTTAATAAGACGACGATAAGAAATAACAACCTGGACTGCCAGCCGCCTCCATAAACAGAAGTGTGATCTTTGGCTGCTCTGCACAGAGGATCTGCTTCTTTTTTTTTTTAAATTCCTGCAGAGATGACTTCTTTTGATATGTTAAATATCGACTCAACAAAAGGTCCTCTGTAACCACAGGAGCAGATTTGATCTTCTCCCAAATAACTCCTGCCCACATTTGTAAGAGGAGAAGAAGAAGAGAAAGATGGCTGACTGTTTATTTATGGTAAACTTGAACTTGCAGTCACACAGGTTCTCTCTCTGTACTGACCTGCTGCCCTGAAGGCCTTTGTGTGTGTGTACCTTTAAAAATACGGGATTATCAGACGGGATCAGCTGTGAGTTTGTCTGAAGCACAGACGGTGTCTTCTGTCTGATTCTGACGAGCTCACTATCGAGCGTCATCATATCCTCTTTATTTCTCCCGAGCGATCACTTTGATGAAGTCGTTCTAAGCGACCTAACAGACATGTTTTTCACTTGTCACAAAGGAGACTTAAACCAACTTAGATCAAATGTAGAGGTTTGGGTTTTTGTTGTAACTCGATACTTCACTGACTCTTCTTCTCCTCTGAATCACAGATTACATTCAATATGTTTCAGTGTTTTTCTCAACTCTTCAGTGTTTTTCTCACCGGTGGAGTAAATTATCTCCACCGGTGATCAACAGCAGAAACAAAAATCTGTGTTTTTAAAGAAGAGAAAAAAAGCATTACTTTAAACATTTATTATTACCACATCGTCCCGACTGATGAGGGATTTTTAGAGCTGATAGCGACATCGTTAGTCACTGGATATGCTCATATCGGTCGATATTATCGGCTGTCAGACTGGTCGGTGGGGCGTTAATTCGAGCTGGGTGTTGTCCAAAACCTCACAATTCAATTTCAATTCTTTAGGTCACAATTCGATTTGATAGTGATTTAATAATACCGAGCATTGTTTGTAAAGGTTTAGAACAAACTGACTCAAACATGTATTTTATTGTTGCATTAATCTTTAATAAACAAATAATAAACAAAAGTGCACATTTGTGCCTGAGCTGAAGTCACAGAACCCACAGTGGGAAAATAATAATTGCAATGCATTGATGAATCGATATTTCTAACCAGCCGTAACGTAAATAACTCCGATTTGTCGATTTTGTTTTCCAGTTTTCTACATGGATAAGATGAGATAAGACAACACTTTATTGTCTGTTTGCACAGAAATTTGTCTTGCATTACAAGCTCAGAGATCCTCTCATCCCAATCAAATCACACTCAAAAGACAAACATAAAAACAGCATAAGCTGCATTCAAAATCACATTTCAGGAGTGACATAAATACATAAATAATGTTAAATAATGTTAGGAGATTGTCCATTAAAAAATTGAGAAAGACAAACACGTGATCGCCTCATAAATCAACCTGTCATATATCATGAGATAAAACTTTCCAACAGCTGAGCAGCAGGAACAACTTCAATCCATCTGTCAGAAGAAGCAACACAACTCTGGTGTAGGGATGAGCTATTAATCGAGTTTTAAGTGCTATTACAATTTAGGCTTCTCACGATCGTGAAAACAAGATATTTGAGCTAAAAGCGAGGACTGTGCTGCAGTGTTTTGACCTCAGGAGTACATCACCACTACCTCAAAAACAAACCAAGTTTATTTGTATTTCTTAAGTTGTTATTTTTCTGCAGAAGGTCAACACACTTTCCACAGTTTTCAGAGAAGACGTGCTTATTCCATCACTCCATTTTCACTTGAACAGCCCTTGTGCATTAACACATCAGCTCGTTTTACACATGAATAATTGCAAAGTTTAAGTGTTGAAGAAATATTTAATAATAAATCTAAATGTAAAATCTAAATGTTAACTATATGCACCCCTCACCTCAGTTCTCATATATATTTATTCATGTATTAATTATTTATTTTCACTTATTGCTTGTTTCTCAAAGTGTTGAAGATGTTAGTGTTTCGATGCTTGTACTCGTGTAGTAACCACGTGTAATAACCATGAACTCAAAATCAATCTGAATAATCCTGATGAGGATTTTTGCAATAATCGAGCAGCCCTTCTCCACCGCTCTGCTAAATGTTACAGATTAAAAAAGGTTGTGCATTCAGTTCTTTATCAGATATAAAATACAACAGAATTATCAGAAAGAAAGAAAGAACGTGTGAAGGTTAATTATGAGTTATTATTTATTAGTGAGCTGATTATAACTTCTCAGACTCATTTCATATCAATCATCTTCTGTTGGGTTCTTTTAATCTCCATAGTTTCTCTTTTCTTTTCCTGTAACCTTTTGTAAAATGCTCAGTCATCTGATATATTGGAGTAAAAAGCAAGCTGACATCTAAATAAAGGTGAGTATGAAAGTGTACAAAGAGAAGCTGTAAATGATGCTTCTAGCTCCAGTGTTTGGGGTTTAAAACTTGACTTTAAAACAGTCCTCAGTTAGTCTGAGCTGCACCAGGACAGGAGTCTAATGTCGTTTACAGAATAAACATCAGTCTGTCTTTATGTAAATCAGTAAACTAGACTTTTAGAAACTCTTCTTTATGATATTTAATGAAACATAATTAAGGTGTATGGTGCTGCTTTAAAAGCATCATATAAATGAGGTCGAAGATGATCGTGTCTTCACCTTTGGTCGTCTCCACTTCACCCCGGAGTTCATCTCCAGCTCCCCGAGTGGAAAGTGATAGTCCACGAAGAGTCCGTCCCGACCCACCGTGTTCACCTCCCCGCTCTCCTGAGGCAGGTCCCCGGTCATGAGCTCATTCAGCCAGCGGCGGGACTGAGAGCCGAGCAGCTCGTCGGAGCACACCGAGTCCACATCGTCCTCAAGCGGCGGGAGAGAGCTCTCCGAGGACAAACTCAACGACTTTATCATGTTTTCAATATGTATGCTTTCACCTACAGTGTGTGCAGAGCTTCCGTCTTATCTGTGTGTCTGTCTTTCACCTGAGCAGGTATTAATACACAGAAGAAGCCACGCCCTGCAGGAAAGGTACACAGATGGATGCTCACCTGTGTGGGCGGGTCCTGCTTTGAGTTCACGTCAGTTTGATGATTCTTCAGGATTTCCCCCTCTGGTTCATGGAACACCTGAAGGTTTTGATTTGGGTTGTATTTAAGTTTCTGTACAGGTAGATGTACATTTAAGAATATTTAAAATGCGCATGCTCTGTTTGACACAGAAGCTCAGTCCAATATCAAGTCACTCAAATGCATTTAAAAGTTTATTCTTCTAATGTCGAGCTCTCCCAGAGTGTAATAACAGCCTCATTTCATTTTATTGATCCTTCATTATAGGTCTATATAATTATTCATTGAGCCGTGTGTACGGAAGCCTGAAGTGGACGTGCAGCCACACATTTTATTTACTTGTTTTTTTCGTGATAAAGAGTCATTTCTGGTTGTTGTTTTGTTATCTTGTATCTTAAATCCCCCGAGCTGCAAAAGGAAAAAACAAACAGCAATAGGCTCAACTTCCGGTGTGGCCAATGGCAGCATGGCATGTTGAGGTCTGGCCCGTCACAGTGAGCCAGCAGCAGATTGTTTTTGTTTTCTTTATGGCCAGAAAAATATCCAATAGTCAGAAGATAAAAAGTTACCTTGTGTGGAGATAATGAGATAAATCAGTCTGCTATGAAGAGAAACCACTGGAATGACTTCTCAAGAGAAAATGGAATAATGAAATGTGTGGACACACGAGCACTTAGGGCTTCTGTACGACTGTACTGTGTTTACATGAAACAAAAGTTATGAATGAATAAAGAGTTCTCCTCGTCTTCCTCGTAACACCAAACGTCATCAGATAACGGATGAATGGATATCACTTTAAAGACTTTTTATGCCTTTATGTTAGAGGACAGTGGATAGTCAGAAACCAGGGAGAGAGAGAGAGAGAGAGAGAGAGAGAGAGAGAGGGAGAGAGAGGAAGAGAGAGGGAGAGAGAGAGAGGAGAGAAAGAGAGAGGGAGAGAGAGAGAGAGAGAAAGGAAGAGAGAGAGAGAGAGAGGAAGAGAGAGACAGAGACAGAGAGGAAGAGAGAGGGAGAGAGAGACAGAGAGAGAGGGAGAGAAAGAGAGAGAGGAAGAGAGAGGGAGAGAAAGAGAGAGGGAGAGAGAGAGACAGAGAGGGAGAGGAGAGAGAGAGAGAGAGAGAGAGAGAGAGGAAGAGAGAGAGAGAGAGAGAGACAGAGAGGGAGAGAAAGAGAGACAGAGACAGAGAGAGAGAGAGAGAGAGGAAGAGAGAGAGAAAGGAAGAGAGAGAGAAAGAGAGAGGGAGAAAGGAAGAGAGAGGGAGAGTGAGAGAAAGAGAGAGAGAGAGAACAACATGTGGGAAATCAGAATCAGAAATACTTTATTAATCCCAGAGGAAAAGAAGCCACAGGTCAGATTTGAACCCGGGCCGTCCGCTCTTGAGGACTAAGCCTCGGTACATGTTGTGAGCACACTAACCGCCAGGCCACCAGCACCCCAGACATCACACTTTAGAGTCCAGAAACAGCTCGACATGGAAACAAGTCTGTTCTGTAAACACTGACGGAAAATGTGAAGTGTCTTCCTGGTTCGTCCCGGGAGCTGAACTAATCTGACCAACATTTCTCTTTAACCCTTTCCACTGAGAAGACACATCAACAGAATCCCTCTGAAACAACTAACACCATGACTCAGCGGTGGTTTGAAGCCCGGCTGCCCTCATTCACATCCGAGTCTTTATTTGGCTCAATAACTGTAAATGGCCGACACCCTGATACCACCTGATGATTAACCAGGAAGTGAGACGACTTCTGAGAATATCTGCTGAAGGATTCAACCAACACGAGATCTTTGATGAAGAACGACCACAGACACAGACTGGAAATGATAAATTACCTTTATTGAGAAAAGTGTGGTTATGAAATTGACCCGGTTAAATCTATTACAGCTGATGAGTGTGTGTTTGTGAGTGTGTCTCTGTGAGTGTGTGTATGTTGAGTTTGCATCACTGAGATGTAGCCATGATGCTGGACACACCTGAGAAAGGAAACAAAGGACGAGAGAGAAGAGGAGAAAAAGAGAGAAAACAGGAAGAAGATTAGATTTCACCTCCTCTTCATTCACTCAAAGATGAGACGTGCTCCTGTTAGAGACGGACTCCCGCTGAGTTTAATGAGCTCTGACTTTGACTTCAGCGACGAGGACGAGACGCTGGCTGTCAAACTGATCACTATCAAACTATTCAAATTAAGGATGACGTCATAATGAGTATGCAGAGTTTCCTGCAGCACTTTAACAACACCCTCCGCCTCATCTACCGCTGAAGAGTTTTAGTTTTTATAACCGTCCATGTGAGATCTAACAGCAGCTCCAGACGCTGTTGGATGCTCTGCTCTGCTCTGCTCTGACCCCCCCCCCCCCCACAGTTAGGACCGTGTGTGACCTCTGCTGATCTCACTGAACAAACAGGAAGTGAGTCCAGTTTTTAAAATATATTTTTCACGGGTTTTTCCACACAGAAGCGTGTTGTAAAGTGTTGATATTTCAGTGCATTACTCTGTTTCAAACGTGATTTTTCTCAGTCTCTTCTCGCCGTGTCCTCGTTCATCATGCAGGTATCAGCTGGTTGTTATGGCAACATGCATCAACAAATGTATCATCAGTAACTGAACAACCTGCTGAAGTCTGAAGCTGCAAACTAAACCTGAACCTGAGGTAAACAAACCCCGTTACAGAGCGCAGCGGTCGGTCCAAAAACTAAACGCACGCGCCTACTTTGGTGTCACAGGCGCGCACACACATACACATCACCTAAATGAACGGTGTGTGTGTGTGTGTGTGTGTGTGAAAGCTTATGAGACAAAGGTGTTTCTGTAAATCACTGCAAACTTGTTATTCACAGAAAGATGTATTTCTCTCTCTTTGTGAAGTTTCTGATGGAGTAGAGTTGATACTGTGTCTTTCAGAGGGAGTCTTCTCTTATTAGTATTTTCATTATGCATTTATTTTGTGTACATGCACTTTCATTTCCTTGAATAAATACTGATGTTAAATGTTGACTGAATTGCTCAGTTGTTGTTTTTTTTTTTAATTCATTTTGTTTCATCTCAAAGTTAAATTGTAGCTCTCGTTCTAAATGTCACTTCAGTCACGATGACGTCTACAAGAGAAAGTTTAACAGCATGAAGTCAAGATGATAAACTAAAACAACCATCACACACTTTGGTGAGTCAGTAGTTTATGTTTTCATTATCAGGTCGAGTCTGCAGCACTCACTCTCAAAGTCGATCTTCTCCACGATGTTCTTGGGCTTGACGCTCTCCTCCTGGTTGAAGATGAAGATCTGACCTTCATCGTTCTCCGTCCAGCCGTATTTATTCATCCAGATCTTCACCTGCGTGTCTGCACGGACAGAGGGAGGTGTTTTTTTATTATTATTCAAAGGAGATTACACATTTTAATTACAAGAAGAATTAAATCAGATCATGTGTTGAACAGGTCCAGCTGGAGGTTTTTTAAATATCTCAATAATGTTTTCAAACATGCAGAGTGTTCGTCGTCTTCACTCGTGTCTCAGCAGGTCGGGTTTCTTACCCAGAGGGTCTCCCAGCATCTCAGCCAGTAACCGGTGCTCGATGGTCTGGTAGGTGATGCCCACCACATGGCAGATAACTGGAGAGGGAGAGATGAGGTTAAACATCAGACCATGTTCAATCCACTGCAGAGCTCGCTGTGAGTCACGAGACGATACTCACACTTCCGGACAGAGTCTTCAAACCCGGTGATGCCGTCGATGAGCTCTCTGTTCTCCTCGAGACTCGTCTGTCAGGGAGGAGAAGAATGAGGGGAGGTCACACTTTACACGAGTTTGGAAAACAACAGGAGGAACGGAACACAAGAGACGTCGCAACGAGGAAATGAGGAAAATACTGAGCAGCCGGCAGGAGCTGCTTTTAATGATTATGAGTCATCAGTATAAGTAAAGAGTCTTTGTTTCAATGAGGGACGACCAGAAGAGAGAGAGAGTGAGTGAGTGAGTGAGTGAGTGAGTGAGTGAGTGAGTGTCATACCCAGAAGCTCTGGAAGTGGCAGGTCTCCAGCAGGTTCCCGAGGTAGAGGATCTGTCTTATGGGGCGTTCCTCTTGCTGCGACACTGTAGTCAAGGAAACGACCCCTGACCCCGCGACAGAACCTGCCTCCCTACGCTGAACCTGGCTCTATTTACACAATCTATAACTACACACTATCTACACATTATCACTTATCTGATGAATAAATATGAATACACTGCGATAGTTTGTAAGCTTCATGTTGATATCTTTTTTTATCAATATTAGGAAACAAATGAAGTTCTTGCCTGTAAATAACTGAATAAATTTGACCTTGTTTTAAAATAAATGTAAAAGTAATGAAGCATCATTTCTCATCGAGTGCATCCGTTGTTTTCACCCTGACATAAATCATCATCTTCACTGCACTTTGTCATTTCTCATGTTCCTCAAGAGAAAAACATTTAAAGTCCTTCCAAGGACGAGTCAAAAAATGAACAAAAGACCGGGAATGGTTACGTGCTGACCAAACGCCACCCGCTCTCTGTAAACCATCAAAGTGGAGATCAACATTCAGATAATATCAGATCGGGGGGCAACCTCTGGTGTTGAAATATGAAGCTGACGCAGAAGAGAAAAATCCTGCAAGAGCCCCAATGACACAAACACCCACTTAAAAAAAGCTGATTTTACCAGAGATCATCGTGTTTACAGCCTGGTACAAAAAACCAAACAGAGTGTGATTAGCTCATGAATCAATCAGCTCACACTGGACCAGTTTGTGATGGATAAGTGTTCAACACAGTGCGCAGCAGAAATCACTGAAGAGCAGACGCTGTGTAACGGTTTGTCAAAAGGGTTAAACCCCGCCTCAGCTCCAGCTCTCAGCCTCTTGTTAGGTCGACTGAAAGTTAGGCTGAGACAGGATTTCCAACATGG